AAAGGTAAGGCTCAAAAGCTTTTTTTTTTTTTTTTTTTTTTTTTTTTAAAAAAGAAAAAATGCTCTACATCCACAAATTATGATCTCGGATGAAAAAAATAACCCACCGCCCTATATAAAGCACTCATAATAATAATGATAATATTAATTGGAAGTGACCACAAATAGGGGCACGAAGCGATTTATATTGGGCCGCCGGCTGAAACGATGGACTAAAAAAGTAATGATCTTTTAACAATAGTTTTCTTTTTTAACCTGTGTCTTAAAGATTGCGTAACAATTTCAATCAGGGCATTAAATATTGTGCCGATGACATGGCATTAAATATGTCACCATTATCATGACATTAAATATGTCGACAGTAAAATGACATTGAATGTGTCGCCAATAAAATGACTTTAAAATTAAATATGTCGCCAGTAACATTACATTAAATAAGTTAATAAGTCGCCAATAACAGGACATTAAATATGTCACCAATAGCATGACATGAAATGTGTCGCCAATAACATGACATTACATATGTCGCCAATAACATGAAATAAAATATGTCACCAGTAACAAGATATTTAAAAATTAAGTTTGAAAATATTTTATCTTTCCAATAATTTACTCTTTCTAAACGCAATTTTCTAATTAATTGTTGTAATGATGACTTTGATTTTAAATGAATGTATTCATGAATTGAAAACGCTTGACAACCTGTGTACTAGAGCTACTGAGCTTAGTAATTCAGAGCAATTAGCTATTTAATAATTTAAAGGTCCTGGTTTATAGCGACAATTTATGACTTACTGAAAAAAAGAGTAATTCAAAAACAAATTAAATTTTAAACGGGTAAACACGAGTTTTTCACAGGATCGTAAATATTCCCAAATTTTTTGTTTTCTAAAAATCACGAAGGATCCCGGGATAGAAATATTAATATCTACTGTACAGGATCATTTTCTATGCTAAATGTGCTTTACTCATGGTTAAAATTTTTTTTTCTTCATTCAAGCAAAAATATATCAAATACTTTTTTACAACTCTTTTTTTTATTATTTTTAATTTTTTTTAAAGTTCATCATTAGCCAACATTTAAATTAGTTTAGTTTAAGTCAAAGTCTTTTTATCTGAACAAACATTAAGTTCTTACCGTGTGATGTATACGTAGCGGAAAATTTACTGTAAAAGTTATAACCATTTTCTTCCCAGCGGCGAACAATATACATCATGTTTCCAGATGATCTTATGTAACCGGGAGGTAAAATTCCCCAGTGGTAGGTAAGTCCATCGAATCGTCCTAGTAGTGGTGCTGTTACATTTGAACCATCGTAAATCATAACATAGCCAACGGGAAGGCGATACCCAACGTACAGAGATAAATCTAAAAATCTGTGAGGTGAATAATAAGTCAGTTAAAAAACAAAACTGGATACTTGATTTTTATTCTTAAAATTTAGAATTTAGGCCTAACAATCGTTTGGAATTGAAAAAAAAGGCTAATGTGAAGAGATAGCATCCTGACGTCATTTGCGTGTTTTGTTCCCTGGTTCCGATAGGGTCAAAGCCCAGGTTAGGTATAAGTTTAGGATCCAGGTTAGGTTTAGGGGTAGATTTAGGGTTCAGTTAGGTTTAGGGATAGATTTAGGACATAAGTTCGCGGGTCGAGGCAACCAAGATTGCGGCCATGGTAAAAGAAACGCAGTGCCGTCTCTTCACATTTGCCAACAAATCTATATGTATCTTAAGTCAATATCAATAATCGAATTATTATTATTATTGTCAGGAATGCTATGAAATTTATCAATTTCTAACAAAAACTAATTCGGTGTCGTGTGACAATAGTATGAGAATCACTGGTGATAGGTGAACTGTTGTTACCGTAAGCCAGAGACTAGGGAGTGTATTGTTGCTGATTGTAATTGGATTAATATAAATGATCATAAATGAGGTCATTGACTATAAATGTGTGTCAGTTCGAGAGGATCGCGATTTGATATCGTGTTGAGTTAGAGTTCAAAGCAGATGTTTGTGAGTTGATTGAGAGTGAACATTACAGTAAGCAAGACGTGGGCAGTTGGCACATAGTTCGTTCAATTATTAGGTGTACAGTAGCCAGAAGTGTCTGTTGAGTTCTTGAAGTTATCACGTGAGCTATGATGTTGTGTTGCCTTGGAGTTGTTGACCAATTGACTTATTAAAGAATAACCTGTATATTTTTTCAGTGTTTTCTGTGTTTATTGTACACCAGTATCGGCACTACACTTGTGAGAAGCGTTCTGTCAATACATTAATTGAAGCCCTGTATAACGTCGCCGAGAAAGCTTCACATTTGTCTGAAGTTTAGACTCGTACGTTCGACAGCCAGTTGAAGTTGAATGTGATTGTGTTAGTTTAACGTAGGATCTAGGTATTAATTAAGACTGCCTTGCCGACCACTCCCGATATTCGCGTGTGTATGTTTGCGTGCGCATTTTATTTTAAAAGAAAAAGAAAATTAGTTTATGAAAAATATCCCCCAAACACACACCCCCCCCCCCATAATAATCTAGAAAATAAATCAACTATGTAAGTATACGTCTTGCTTAAAATTAAAAAGAAAAAAGAAAAGTGTAGCGTCTTTTAGTTTTAGCTACATATTCTTTATGATTTTTTAAAAAAGAAATATTTTTATATTATGTCTTTAAAATTTCGTTGTCATATGAAATAAAATATTATATAATAGTGTAATTTTATTTAAGTTGTAAGAGTTTCGACATTGGAGCCAGAATGATCAATTCATTGATTGTCGGTCCTCAAAATATAAGAAGAAGAAGAAGAGTAAAAACTAATGTTCATGATTTTTCTATGTACCTTAAATCTATAACAAGTCCATTTTCCACACTGATTATCCAGGAACAAACTTCATTTTCGTTCTGATAATAATCATTATAATAGTAAGGTGAAGATATGATGCCTGACGGGTTTGTCAAAGTCTTGCCACACTCTGTAAAACATTGCTTAAAAATTCAGTTTTAGAGACAAATAACCATTAGTAAAAGGATCTTATTTTTTTTTAAATAACTTTAAAAAGCCACAAAAAAACCTTGAACGGTTAGATGTGCAATCAAATTCAAAACATTTAAAAGCCAATTAATGTTTTATGAAGCCAATCATATTCTTTGATTATTTTAAAAAAATATATGCACTAAAACAAATAAAAATAAATGTGCAGATGTAGATTATTCTTTAGTATCAAGTACATTATGAAAACGAAAAGAAAATTAAAATTGATTGAAAGCAAATATGAATACACTTTCTAAACTCTACTCGATTTTGTTTTAAATGTTGCTGTTTTAAAAATAGTTAACCTTTTGTTTGATAAACTAAATATACTTTGTTTAAGTTCCCAAACTTGTGATTCAGCACTTATAAAACGATTTTATTTTTATTTTGAGGTTTTTGCAGAAGAATTATTTAAAAAGCTTCAAAACTGCTGGAAAAGTTAAGGTTAAAGGTTTTTTCATTGATATTTTTATTTATTAATGTATTTATTAAGACTGTCTGATCATCTTCTAATATTTATAAAAAATGCCATTGGTGTGACTTGGAATATTGATATATTAACTGAGCTGTCAACAAATACACTTTGCATATGAAGACACTTGCATTTGAGTAAGTTTTGCATTTGAATATACTTTACACTAAAACTAATTTAGTGAATTGGACATTATGCAAAACTGGCACAATGTAAACATAAAATTAATATATTTTAAGCAAATATTTAAAGCCACTCGGCTGCTTGTAAAATTTAACAAACAAAACTAAAATCAATGTTTTCGGTGAAAATAAATTTGAATTTATCGGTGTCATTGTCCGTGAAAAAAAAAGTGCTCTAGTAAAGGGGTTTGAAAACATAATTTAGTAAAATTGTGCCAAAGTAAGATTTCTAATTCATTAAACTTGTCAACAGCCTGTAACTCTATCTTATATGACTTAATAGTTGGTTTACTGCGTGCCATTGACACCCGCTTTGTTTGTTGAGTCTGACACGCTAGTCGTAAGTTATCTATAGATAGCTTTATTGTTGCGACTGCAGCACGTTCTGCCATCCATGCATTGTTTTTGTTTTTTATAATTTGTTGGACTATTTTGTAACTCAAAACGTACTAGTCAGTGGGGGTAGTAGCGTAGTTGGGGGGTAAGGACTGCACCCGTTAACCCTCGCACCAAACTGAAAAATTGTTTATTTACAGAGCCGAAACTGCTCGATCTAACCACATTTCCTAAATGGATAATTTTCCCACATGTAACAAAAAATTGCAAGGTTGATGCTTTAGAAATGAGCAACTCCACATTTAGGTCACAAAAACACCGTTTTGGCTTGATTAAACGCCCATTGAAGAGTTCGGTAACTTGCGTAAGTTACAGGAAGCTACATTTATTTAAATTCTGAGAAATGAATCTTTCAATTGATACCAATGGGCGATCTAATTTAATGTTATAGTTCTTAAATACATTTATCCCCCCCCCCCACCTTCAGTTAATTTTTTTGTTCTGTACATAGTCATATCGTGGACTTATTTGAACAAGAAAAAATTCATCTTGGAAGTCTAGGTAGGGTATTAAGCAACGACTCTGCTACACCAGGTGACAGGAACCTTAGTTACGCCACTGACATGTATATGTATATTGATATTATGTAAATTTAATTTATACTTCTTTAAATGTGTTTTGTTTGTTTGTACTGATGAAGGCATGTGCCGAAACGTTTAATTGTGTATAATGTATAATTATTATTAAAGCCTACTTATATTGTTATTTTGACACAATTTGTTCGTGTCTTATTAATCACTGACAGCGAGAGTGACATTAAAATTAGGTTGATAACATAATACTAAGCTTAATTAATGTCTCAAAACAAAGTTGAACAACATCAAATTTCCTAGCATCTCCAAAAATAAATACATACGATCTATAATATGAGCTAACTTACCATCGCACAGTGTTGAATTAAAATTTTCATATCCATATTTACATCTACATTGGTATGATCCAAAAGTGTTTTCACAGTGGGAATTAGTGGCATCGCAAGCACCAACGCTGCACTCATTAAAATCTGCATAACAATCCGTCGAAGTCCAGTTTAAGTAACAGGTACACAGACCATCAACTGGATTTACCGACTTTGTGTTCTGAGGGTGACAGGAGCTCTTGTATTGACACTCTTCTCCATAAAACATGTCAATACATTCTGAAATAAAGCAATTTAAAAAAAAAAATATTAGCAAGTTCAATAACTATTTACCCTAAAAGTTTTTGCTCAAAAAGTATTGTTTGTTTGTTAATATGTATTCACTTCATTTTAAAAAAAAAATATTGTTGTTACAATATAAAAAAATCTTCAGCTTTGATGAAAGTACAGTTTAATCCTATTAAATAGAGCAAGAATAGAAATATGCCTCCTAACCTTCAAATAAATAATGTTTTAATTTATTAAATGCGTTCAAATATACTTGCAAATTTATTTTAAAAAAGAGGACACGTACTTCTGTAAAAGGTAATAAAGACAATAATATACTTTAGTATATAAACAACTTTGTTCCATTAAAATCTATTTAAAAATGCCACATATATAGCTTTTTAAAGTTATCAAGCTTTCAAGAAAATTCTATTTTGGATCGTCTTAGTTTTAAATCCACCGATACTTCACTACGGACAATAAAGTGCATTGCTACCACGCAAGGCCTCTAGCCATCAATTCACGTAAAACTAGTGTGTTTTTAAGCCTTTTGATATTTAAATATCTTATTTAAGTAAAAACTGAAATGGGGCCCCAAGCCCCATGGGAATGGGTGAGTTAAGTGCCCTTCAGTATATGAATAGGAATAATCAAGTGTAAGTGTAATAATTTCGTTCAAGGTCCATCTATCCATTTAGTAGCATTTCTTGTAAATTTTAGTTATATAGCTCATACAAAAAAAAATTAAAAAATTCGGGGCCCCCGGCCCCAAAAAGAACTTTGTCAAAGTTCAACCCCCCCACCCCACCCCCACCCCCCCCCCCCCCCCTGGATAATGATGATATATGTGCCAAGTTTGGTCAACATCCATCAATCCATTTAAAAACCCTTGTGGAACATCCCACTAACAAACAAACACATTTTTTACTTTTTTATACATATGTGATTATGAAGCAATATACGCTAGCAATGAATTTAATGAAAAAATTGATTACCAGCTCAAAGCAATTATGATACTTAAAATGAGATTTATATTCTGATAAATATTGATGCTTTCCCAGATTGTTCCGCTGCAAAATTGCCAATTACATTCTCAACATGTATCTTTTTCACAAAAGCAGACTTAATACTGAGTATTGCAAAATTATGCCAGTCTGTCCTGTGATACGTTCGATCTGATATTTTTTGTTTATCAGCTTTAGTTTGCTGAGTGAGCACTTTGCAGAGTTGACAGTGGAAGAAATTTTACCAGTATAAGGAGCTTTAAACGTGTATTTTTTGAGTTTCCTTACAGCTTGTATCTTTTCAAGCAATTCAGTAGCTCCAACGAAACTGCGTGAGATCAGTTTGCCAGTAGTTTGGATTTAAGAGTGAGTGCACCAATAACAGGCTCTCTGAAACATGATTCGTCAGAAGGTGCACCCATTTCTTGTTTAGACAGATTCTGTTATTTCTGTAACGCCTTAAACACGGAACCTCTTCTTGTTTTGCTTCAACCTGAGTTCCAGAGAGTTTTTCAATACTGTAGACAAATTAGAGGCATCATGCCTAGCTTCGTTGCTAATACTTTTCCAGCTGTACCGAAGATTCATCAGTGTTGAAATCAAGCTTTTTAAGTTGAAAACATTGACATCCAGTGGTGCATTTCTAGTCCAAACAACGCTGTTACAGATAAAAACTGGAACAAATACTCTACATAAAACATACATTATCACACAAAATAAGTATGTTGCTTAAAACCAAGCTCCATTAATTTCTTTACTTGTTTGGGCTAATGAGTTTAATTCCAATAGTTTTATAATGCTAATTCGATGCCTGGAAGGTGAGCTACAAAAAGCGTTATACTTTCCACACAAGCTGAGAAACGTGTGTTTAGATATGCCGTTGAGGGAACAGCCCATACACATCTTCAAGATGTTACGATCACCGTGGACTAAAACTAAACAAGTTTTTAACAGTTCCAAAATATGTTATGGCTCCAGGAATGCATTCTGTGGCATCATTTCCAATCAAATTAAATGTGTGTTATCTACCTGGTGAAAATAAAGTTTTTTTCCACATTTTTCAAGTATTCTGGCTTGTGCAACCTTAATATTTTACTGCAGCATTGTTCTAATTATCATATCCCTGTGCACGAAAATCCTACAGTGGAATATCGGGTAATTTCAATGTTTCTTCTTGTTACAGAGAGCTTGTTTGCATGGTGTTTCTCGTGTGTGCCCTCTGATTGACCCCGCATGAGACGCTGTGTTCACAAAGGGGTGCGGCTTAGGTCTTTGAAGTGGCTTGTTTACAATCGGCTTCCAATTACGCATTGGGTAGATTGTTTTCGGGTAATTTCTGGAATATACTCCTTAACCCGAGATATGTAAACAACACGTCATAAGCCCTTCTCGAAGCATCTTACTCCACATATATATAAGGGATTGACAGGCACGACGACGGAGATTTTTTTATAGATTCTCTTAACATTACGAGGCGTGTTTTATTCTTTTGTGTATTTGTGTGCTCCTACTTATATGTGTTTATTCCGCATTATTTATTGGCATCATTATTTCTAATTGTATTAACTGTGTACCGGTACGACATCTGCCATACTGTAAGTTGAAGATTGTAATTTTATTTTATTTTATTTTGTAATTATCTTAAGACATAATAAATCGTAATTAATTGTGACTAGAAACTGTTTTGGGTCGTATCTTTAATATTGTTGATTATATGGTATCGTCCTTTGTTAGGCACTGTTTACAACGAGCCAATTAAAATTAAAATAGGAGATTAATTTCTCCCAATATAAGTCAGTGCGTAACACTTCTATTATCTTTGCTATGTGTTATATCCTGTTTTATTTCCATTGTCTTATTCACCAATGCGTTGGGAACGACTAAGGAAAATGAAACCCGCACTTTCCCATGATGCCTCAAATACACTTTCAATGCCTTTGTCAGATGACAGGCTTCTTCTCTTCTTTAATTCTTCCTAAAATTGAGGGTCTACGATCAATGAATTGATCATTCTGGCTCCTATGTTTCAGAGGGGTTCGCGATGTTACTGTGCATGGTTTCAAAGGAATACTTCACTGGTTAAGGGCTACTCAGCAGTGGTGTTATAAACTGGGTGTTGGAAGACAGGAGGAAATAGACACAAATTTGCCCAATGTAGCCGCCCAGCCGTTGCTTTTGGAAGCTTGTTCCAGTCCCTTATTGTCTTTGGCAGGAATGAGGAGCTCCTGTACTGAGTTCTTGTTTTTATTAGCCGGAACTGCATTTCGTGGCCTTGTCGCTGTCTAGGGGGAAGATGGACGAGTTTCTGTTTGATACCGGAGCAGTAGGCCAGCCCATTTTTTTATCTTGTACAACATGGTCTTCATTCTAGTTCTAGTCAAGCCTCATATCAGTGCCTATGGCTATTGCTTCAATAATAGTTTTTGAATGCGAATACATAATTTCAGCCAATATTTTATATGCTGACATAGATGCTAAGCTAATGCTGCGAAAAAAATATTGTTCCAAAATAATAGATAAGGAATGCGAAATATGCTTGTTTACCTTCAGTACAGGGAGTCCGATCCCAGTCCTGTTTTTACCATTTAAAACAGCCATTTGAAATGTTGGAATTAGTTTGGGAAAATTATGGTTATCTATATCTTGGGAAATGCTTTAGAAAATCCAGTTTGACTTTTAATAACGTGTCTGCTAATGTCAAACAATGCTGGGAGGCGGTTTTGCTATACACTCTTGTTTTTTTCTTTCTTTTTAACAATTTGTTGCATTTTTTTAAAATCCTTCAACGGCTTGATGAATAATGGAGCCGAAATCATGTTATTTTTAAAAATCAAAATTGTACAATAATGGTTTAGCTAAACATAAATAGTAACATATGTGTAGGTCACTAAGCGTTATGCATTAATTGAAAAAGTTTATTATTTTAAAAAATAAGTTACTACTTGTACCAGACCCACTATTTACTACTTGTACCAGACCCACTATTTACTACTTGTACCAGACCCACTATATGTCAAATTTGATTAAAAGAGGAAAACAATATATAAAACTTGTGTAACATTAATTCTTGCCCGCTGCACTCCAGGGCTGGGCCATGCCGAGAATAATAGCTCCCGGGATAAAGGCTGAAAATGATGACCAACAAATATTGTATCGACACAAATTAGTGGACGAAAAAATTACACTTTTTAGAGTCTTTTATCTTTAGGAAATACATGAGCTTTATTTTTAAATTCACCATTAAATGTCCTCACTTAAGACGATATTTGCATCTCCATACCTTGTAGTGGCGCCAGCGGTCAATGCCCCCTTCATCCTTTTATTTCTCTGCCCAATGGAAAATTCGCATCTCAGGGTGACGTTCTGCATGTTTTGTAACCGCTGAGCTCATCAAACAGACAGCAGTAAAAACCAGAGACACATTTTTTTTTCTTATACTCGTGACATCCTCAATGTGTGTAAAAATGATTTTGTTAACGGGGGCTAGGGATGGGTGGTCGAAGCTCATTTATAAGTAAGCATAGGTTATGTACGCAAGATTACACCTGCACCAGGGGTAGACATTTTCATCTTTTCCTTGTTGGCAAACCGAAGGTTTGGATCATTAAGTATATCTTTCAGAACATCAACACAATGTTTCCATTTCGGAAAGAAAACTAAAATAACATTTCACATTGAAATAGTTAAGTAAATAATTCTAACTTACCCACACACGATTGGGTATTGGATGAATTTATTTTCATCCCTTTGGGGCAGTAGCACTGTTCAATGTATTGATTTGTTGTGTCACCGCAGGCTTGAGAAGTTGGGAAAACACCGCATGCGTTGGAGCAGTTATTTTGTTCTGGTATACACGTTGCTGAAAAGAAAATATCAGTGCAATAAATGACTATTTATTGTCATATTAAGGCTTAATAAATAATACAACATTTCTAATTTTGTATGTTAACGAACCAACAATTTTAATCCAATCAATTTACAGTTAACTCATATTTATAAAAATGATACAGCCAAATAACTAATTCCTAAACAAATAATAATTCTCCTACTTAATTTTAGCGTATATTTTGTTGTCTTTATGTACATCTAAGTTTTTGTATTTCTCCCTAATTCATTCCTTTACATTAAACGGTTTTTCTCGTTTTACATAAATTACGTCTATTGACTTGGTGTCTCCAGGAATACAATTCGGATTTGATGGATAAAACGGTCAATTTTTTTTAATTTGAGGTCACGAACGTGTGGTAAAAATGGTTAGATGTGATTATTTTTAATATTAATATTTACAAACTCATACATATACAATTGAATTGCCTATTTATGATAAAAGATATAATGGATACATCATTATTGCGGATTCCCTATTATCCTTCCTCGCTTCATTTCAAATGTGTAGATTTAGCTCAACAGATTTATACCCTGTCCCTGTCTTCCTGCCACTTAGCTAAATAGGCATTTCTAACTATAAATTAGACCACTTCTGACTTTCAAAACTATCTTTTTGTGTGTTTCTATTGATTTTTTCCAACAATAAAATAGCTTGGTAATTTGCGGATGAATCACTATTCTACTTAGTCCTACTTTAAAAGACTAAAACCACAACAGGGACCAAAAATAACGGCATTGCATCGCTGCACATATGTAGCTGCACATCCGTTGACCGCTTGTCCTAAAACCGTTCTTGGGGAAAGTTAAGCGACAGGTGAGATCAGCATTATTACAATGATGTACCGAACAATGCAACAGGAGCTGTTTGCCAATGTGTTAGTCGGGGTCATAAAGAGCGACAACTCGGCCCCCACAAGACGATAAATTAGTAATATCAGTATCTGTCAAGCATTAAATTATCAAATGCTGGCATACATTAATACATTACAGAAACATAATTATATCATCTTACAGACACAGTGACCCGTTGCGGTGAGCTGAAGTCCCGTTTTACAGACACACATGTAGCTTCCTTTTGTATTAAAACACAGAGAATACAAATCTGGGCAAGTGTTGGGATTATCGCATTCATTGATGTCGACCTCACAGTTAGCAGAAGTCCAACCATTTTTACAAGTACACTGGCTGGTGAAAGTGTTGCAAAACAATGTGCCTTGTTGTTCACAGGAGCAGTTCTGGTTACATGTGTCAGTGCCGTAGGTAAATGGATCGCAGACTGTTTGTTTAGTAATGAAATAATTATTGTGAAATACTAATAAAAAATAATAAAAAAGCATTACATTTTAATTTTAAAAAAGGGATTTTACTTTGTTAAATTAAATAAATTGCTAAAAGAAATTAATCATAAAATCAAGAGTAAATTGTTTTAAATTCAACGACCGTGACGGAAGTGGAAATACCAAACGCCATGAATAAACCTTCCCAAAAAATATAAAAAGGAGCACAAAAGTAGTTTTTAAATAATTTTTTTTTATCATAATAGACATTATTAAAATAAAAAGATAAAAAAGATACATTTAATTTATTTCCCCACACACCGTGTGCCCAATATGAAGCACTAAATCCTGGGCCAGATGGCGCTCCACTGGAAGTAAAAATGACCAGCAAATTATGACCAGTTGTACGGATACGATAGTTCTTTATTTGTGACTCCTCCCAATAACCTTGTAAATTTTGCACTATGACTGTGTTTCCTGTGCTGTCTCCGTCAAAAAAGGACAGACTATCGCCATTATCAACTCCAAAACTGTGGAACCTGTCGATTTTTTTTTTAAAAAGCTGTAGTAATTAAATCACCTGGATTATGGAAACTATATTTACGTTCTTGGCAGAATAGACATTATAGAAAAGTATTATATTTCTTTCATTGTCAAGCATAGCTTAGCTAGATATTAATGGGAACGTGTCTTGTAAAATATGTAGTAACAAAATTGTATAAGGAAAGCGGAAAGACTTTGCATTGTAAAGGTTTCGATTAATGAAAACTGGCATCGTCAAATCGATTACCTGAGTGTTATAACTTGATTTTCTGCAACCGTTATAGTCCAAATGCAGGTCACATATTCTGGGTAGCCATCTGGGAAATTTGGAGAGATGATTGCTCCTGCTTGATCTGTCACATGGCCACCGCATTCTGTTGTGTAGAAGACAGTGTTTATTTTGAGGAAAAAAGTTTTTGCCCTAAGGTATTTAAAAGAAAGTTCGAAATTTAAGTTTGACAAAATATACTTTACTAATTTTTTTAAAAAGCAACCTAATTTATTACTTTTACCAAAGCACTGAATCCGATATGTTTTGTCAATTAATTTCAACGTGAAAGATTTTGCATAAATTAAGGTATGCATCCCCAAAACAATAATTTTAAACACAATGCGGCTAGTAAACCTTTTGGGATATCTAGACCTAAACCTATTTAAAACATATATATATATATACAATTTTCGCAACACCTAAATAATATTTTACATTTTTAATAAATGAAGCGCCTTTGTCAAAAATGTTTATGCCCATTCAAAAGACAAATACTTATAAAAATCACTTGTATCCCGTTTCCGAGGGATAATTAAAAACCCGGGACATGAGAAACCATCGTGTAACGACTCCAAGTGCGATCTTTTTTCATTTACCTTTTGAGACATTCTGCTTTGGCCGCATTGGATAAGTTTGAAAATGCTAGTTTACATGACCTTAGCTTTCATCAATGGAAATATAAGTATTGATGAATGTTCAATCGGAAACGATTTTAGCAATTTATTTAAGAAGTATATATACACATATACATATATATATACACACACACATATATATATATATATATATATATACAATACTAAAAGAAGAGTGGTTATATCCATATTTAATTATACGTTATTGTAGACTATGATATCGTGTTGGAACTAAACATTCTACATGGAAGCGGCCGATGCACTTTCTTTTAAAAGTATTAAACATTGATTTTATACTTCCCTATTAATTTAAAGTATTAAAATATATGTTTTAACTAAATAAAACCACACCATAAGTATTTGCCTGTCCATCGCAACTTGTCACAATGGCAAGTATCATAAGGGCACCAAGCGCTAGCCATCCATTCCCCATGACAATATTTTGACTTTTGTCGTTGTACAACTGTAAATAGACCTACATTTATTTTTAGTTTTCAAAATAAATATTAATAAAATGAGTAAAGGTTTGTAAACAGTAAATACATACCTGTGACAACAACGAAAAACATAATTTCAACTAACTCAAACATTTATTACTCAAATTTAAAAAAAAAAATCGTGATTTCCTATTTTGTAGAGCCCCTCATGAAAATCATAAAAACTGTATGACATTTACTACACGTGTTTTCTATGAGTGTATACTTGTGTACATATCTTCTTCTTCTATATCTTAAGGGCCCACGATCAATTTATTGATCATTTTGGCTCCTTTGCATGTAGATGGGATTTTTCAGAATATATTCTCCGCTCTCAGCAAGAGGCGCCTTCGCAGGTTAGGCCATATAAGGAGAATGGAGAAAGGCCGTATTCCAAAGAAGTTGCTGTATAGAGAGTTGGCAGAGGAGACAAGACTTGGAGGATGGCAAGAGGAGACAAGACTTGGAGGATGGCAAGGGGAGACAAGACTTGGAGGATGGCAAGAGGAGACAAGACTTGGAGGATGGCAAGAGGAGACAAGACTTGGAGGATGGCAAGAGGAGACAAGACTTGGAGGATGGCAAGAGGAGACAAGACTTGGAGGATGGCAAACGGCAGTGATTTGTGGACGTTTGCAAAAAGAGCATGAGGGAAGCCAATATGGAGATCAATGAATGTGAGATCATTGCTCAACAACGAATAGCTGGTGATAAAGGCGTCAAAGAGACAGAAGGACGCCATGTATATATACATACAAAGACACAGGATATCGATGTTAAAAAACAAAATACATAAACAAAAGTTTAAGGCCTGTAGAAAATAACTGTGTATTAACTGTTAGCGTGGGAATTCGCCCTTTGATATCTAATATCGAATAAATAGTCTTATCAAGAAAGATAACATTAAACAAAACTTATTTTGCTTGAACAATTAATTGAAGCAAAAGGCATCACCAAACTCAGCAAAATTGGAGGATGTCATCAACATATTTCATCACAATTACTTAAGATGAGATCGATAAGGGCGAATTATTTCCTTCAAAGTAAGGAGCTAAATATATTAGCATTTATTTAATTTGTTCCCCACAAAGACTTAATTTATCAGGGTGCTCTGTGGGCTGTTAAAGAATCAAATAATCTCACATAAAGTCATCATTGTCACAATGAAAATCAGTTTTATGATATATCATTACCTTTTTTAATTAATTAATTAATTATTTTTTTGGTGCATGAGAAATAATTTAAATATATTTGTACAAATTATTTTTTCTAGTTTAAAACTGTGTTAATTAATAAAAATATTTATCCTTATATTGAAATGGAATATGCACAAATCACTCAAAACACATTTCAATTTTGTGAATCAATAAAAGAATCGTAACTTGATATTTTCTTTGCTAATTGAACTTTAATTCAATTTGAAATATTTGTTTGCAAAATAAAATAATTTTAAATTTTTATTTTCAGAAATGAGATGTCAAAGTAAAAAATGTGAATGCTAATAAAGTGTTGAGCCTTGTGGATGATAAAAAATGAATATTATCGGTAACATACCTATTTCGTTGATAAATCGCACATCAACTGTAAAGATATCTGATTTTAAAGACGAAAAGAAAATAACTGTAAAACCATCGACGGTCCTAAGGTAATGTCCTGCGACTTGAATAAGTCAGGTAGATATACGTATCATGCTTTAATACGTTTCAGGAATCAAATCAACCCCCTCCTTTTTTACCCCATTTATTACCCCATTACTTTACATAGCTGACACGTCTTATTCTTAGTTTGGCTTTTTCGAGTTGCCAGCTGAAATGGCATAACGTTTTTTGTTATTTTTTTAAATAACACGTTTGTTCCTGGTACATCATGCCCAAATTGCCCAAACAAACTTCACGGGGGACATTTTTAACAATGTAATCTATTGGCATTTGTTTTTAGGATCACGACTGTGCTGACGTCATTTAATCAATAGAGAACCCCATTTTTTGACGGCATATCTTTTTCTCATTCAAACTGAATGAATACGCTGTACGTGGGCCTGAACATGTATTGTCTATGGCTGGAGAAATTAGCATATGTTTCTAGCCATTACGGAAATGAGGTCTCGGCAAACGCTGAGGTTTGAGTTGCTGTTGTCGAGTCATGTCCAAATATAAGGCCATAAACATTAGGTCAATGGTGTATCAGGAATACGGTGTTAATTGTTATGAAAAATCTGTTAGCTTTATACATATTTTCTATTTTCTAATTCTATATAAGCAGTGTCTATATAGTGTACCTATTTACCAACTAGAATGATATACCATATAATGTCGTATAAGGACCGTTTAGGAACCTCTTAAGTGATAAATTGACGTGTATGTGTTAACATAAACATAGTGAAAAGTATTACTAATCAATGCTTTGGTTTTTAAAGTACTGGGTAACTGAGGGGGACGAGTGTTGTGGCATTGAAGGGGGGGGGGGTGATATTTGGAGTAAATTATGTAAAGAAATTACAGGAAAAAAAAAGAAATAAAACGATACCAGCTTCAAGCAAATACACAGTAATCTTAAATAATAAGGCATTAGCCTTATCAGTATAAAATGAGTACATGGCTATTAATATAGTGGCACTGTTTGACGGTTATAGACTCAAAAACTACTGGACATGGAGAGCTGAAATATTGCATCTATTATCGGAGAATCAAAATATTCTAGGTTAAATTTTTGTTTATCTTCAGAAGAGCCGACATTTGCTAAAATACTTTTTTGTGCATTTTAATGAGCTATATAAAGGAAGAAAATGTTATAATTTTGAAAGCATTATTTTGTTTCACTATATATCTAATTCATCTACGTTAATTTTTTAAGTTCATGATTATATTTGTTAAACTGTATGCACAGCGTGGTGAGCCCAGCCCTAGGCTGGAGTACCACGCTATATAAACCACCACTAATAATAACAATAATAATAATGAATCTACTATAGTGCGGGCAAAAAGAAATTTGATGAAAATTTTATCGTGTGAAGTGATAAAAATTGGACCAAATTTCCGTTCGATCAAATTTCCGTTCGATCCAAATTCCGTC